AACATATTTGTCTTCTCTCAATGAAATTATTGATAAAAACTATCATTTCATACCTGTCCAGTCTGCCTGCGTTTTCTCTTTAGGGGTACAGGCACCCCACTAGTGCCAAAGAGGATGATGCCAGATTCATTTTTAGTACTGAAGGACAAGTGGATTTCTGTTCCCACATCGAGTGAGACTGGTGGCAATTCCACAAAACCTGGTTTAGGGAAGCTGACTGTGTAGATATTCTGCAAGAAAAAAAAAGAGAACTGAATGAAGAACTTCCTTGGACCAACAGTCTGAAACAAATGGTCAAATGTATACATTTGAAAGTGTTGTGCAAACATTTGTTCTTCTGATAAACCATTCAGTACTACAAAATATTTGGAAATCTTACTGTACAGTCAGGGCTTATTCCAGTGTTGTTGTTGTTTTCTCACTTGTCACTACCAAGGGTGACAGAAGGCTAAGGCAAGCAATCTGGGTCAGAACTACATTTAGGATTGTGCTGGCATAAAGTGGCTTCCTATCCTCTTTCCTCAACCCCCAGCAGACCTTCCTCCAACGTCCTCCTTGCTTAGAGGGCCCTGCAGAACTTTAGTAATGATGGAGGGAGAGATGCTAGAAACAGAACACAGGCAGAGTTCTAGCTCCTGTTCTCTGATGATGCCGGCCACAGAGACTGGTGAAATGTCAGGAAGAAAAACCTCCAGAACATGGACAAAAAGCCCGAAAAATCCCCAACAACCATCAGATGCTAGAAAGTTGTACAAAGGCATCTTCTATTCATAGAAAGTAGGCCACGACCCCCCCATGAGCTCAACTGAGGTGAGCTCATTAGCAGATACGAACACGGGTGGGCAATAGCAGCATCCTTGCTTTGCACCTTGAATCCCTCAATATTTTCTCTTTGTTGAAGAACAGAGCTGTGCACACCTCATAACCTCTCCTGGTCCCCAGAAAGTAGTCTCCTGCCTCAAGTGTGGTAGAGAGCTAACTACGCTGATGCCTGATGGAATGGAATGGAGATGCTGGAAACTGTTTTATAGTTTTGAATCATCCTGCCTCTTTCAAACTTCATCCTATCAGTTGCCCTCTGTTGTGGGCTACAGATATGTCACAAAGCAACTGGAGAAGAAATAAATAAATTCTTGATAGTGGGACACAGGCAGCCAGGTGTCCCCATGAGAGGTGAGGTGGAAGAACAGAAGCCAGTGGTGGGCAGAGTCAGAGTAACAGCTTACTGCTGGTTCATTCTTCCAATTTTGCACCTTCCCTTTACAGTGATTTTACCTCCATCACAACTTCTGCAGCTTTCCTGTTCCTGTTGCTTTCTGTTGTGGTGGTGCTTCCTGGGAATTAAAGTTCATTGGGAGGAACAACCCTCTATAGACTTCAATGGATAGCAGGACTATGATTTCCAGGAAGCACTTTAAAAAAGCAAATCAACAAGAGAAAGCAGCAGGAACCAGGAAGGTTACAGAAGCTGGTAGTCAAAGTATAATCATTGGAAAGCCTGGCAGGGGAAGCCACAGGTGATTTGGGTGATATGAGATTTTGGGCTGCAATTCCTAGAATTCTTAGAATTAATGGTGTAACTGCAAATTGTTCTTGGGAAACGATTGGACTTCACACTTAAGAAGGTTGAAAAGATTCCCGATAAAGCACAATACTCTCAGTATAATACTACATCTGTGAAGCAGGTGGCATTGCACAGCTCACCCCTAGGTTATAGTTGTTTGCATTTCCCCATTCAGGGAAGGAAAGCCTGTTCCTATAGGACCAGGGCAAGAAGTAGGTCAGTATGTCTCCCGATTGGTAGGAGCTTTATTCAGACACAGACTGAATAATGTCATGGCAATATTTGGAAGACTTCCAGACATGCCTACTCAAGACAAAACCACCCTCACAGGCTTTGTATTACATCAGGGATCACATGCCATATTCTGTTCCTGAGAAAACCTGTTTCTGTCCCACAGACTGTAAGCTTAGCACCAGAGAACCAGGGTAGAGATGGAAGGTAACACCATTGCCTCTGCTACTAAGGCTTCAACCTTACTAGATCTGGATTCATGAGACCACTGCTCTCTTGGTGTCACACATCATCATCAAAAAAACACCTCTTTGATATTCCTTTTCTCATCTGTACAATACTGCTATCTGGTATGTTTTATGGATAGTCTAATGCCAAAAGTGAGCTTCAGCTGTGGTATTGATTTTGGAAATTATTTTAAAACCAACACTTTATGGTTTTTTTAAACCTGAGATTTCCCCACAACATGGCAGTTTGCTTACACTTCAAAAACCATCCACTTATCTGCGAGGCTCCATTATTTGTCATGGCTTTATTACATAGGGTTAGCACTTCAGCTTGTCCAACTCATAAATAAAGGATGATTTGCACAGCCCGTGGCTCTACTCCTTTCCATACTGGGAGATATTAGAGTGCACTGAAGAGGTGCTATATGTCACTGAATAATAAGTCACCATTTTTATGTGAAATTGCTTAAGCACAGCCAATACGCACAGCCATTTCAGCTGATGATTAGGAACCATTCTAAATCCAATCTGTCAAGAACTGTTTCTGTGTAACCCTCTGAAATGAAATGGTCTCATTTTAGAGCAATACTGAAACTCCATATTCTGGTTTCTCCCATAACACATTTATTTAGCTTTTCTCATAGTAGCTATTAGTAGGACCTGCCCTATTGTTAGCTAGAACGAGGCAGCTGTCTCAAGTAGCAGATTTTGGTGTAATAGAAAGAAAGTAAATTGTTACAATTTATTATCATTGTATTTTGCTGCAATGGTAGGTAAGTGGTATGTGCAGGCTTTGCTAACTTAGGTACCAGGTTAATGTTAGAAAAAGGTAGCTGTATTAGTCTATGCTAGCATATCAGCAAAAACAAAAGAAACATTAAAAAATAAAGACAACAAAAACATTGTGTAACACCTTAAAGACTAACTATTATATTTTAATGTGAGCTTTTGTGGATGAAGTCACTTCCCCAGTCCTACTTTTATGTCTGAGGAAGTGGACTTGTCCATGAAAGCTCACGTTAAAATATAGCAGTTAGTTTTCAAGGTGCCAAAATAACTTGGTTGACTTCGGTGCTAGAAAATCAGAACTTGGAGGGGAAAGCCACTTTTTTGTGCTTTCAGAGATGTCTGGCAGCAAAATGTATTGAGATGTCCCTGATTCTTAGTCTCTCCCTAACCTTATCATAGCCTTAGGCAAGCCATGCTGTCATCATCTCTAGTTACACCACTCCTCGCAACCATGTGATCAGTTTATTTGCTAGTCTCTAGCAAATAAACTGGAAGTATGTAATACTGGTATGGAAACTCAACATATGATTCAATAGAAAAAGTTATAACTATGTCATTATGATGAGGGCAGGGAAGCACCTTGCAACAGCCTGCCATTAAGGGAATGAGTTCCTATTATCTCACAAATTTGCTCACTACAAATTGTGAACTGACTGTTCTTAGAACATGGAGAAGTCACTGCTAGGACATTCAAGGCACTAACCTCCAGCGTACATCCCTTGGTAATGCCAACATAGTCAGGGCTGCTCAGAAGATTATATGGTGTCCGAGAAATCTCAATATCTTTTAGACAGCCTGCATACTTCTTTGTGTTTACTTCAGGCCTGTGAATAGAAGATCAAAGCTGATTTAACCAGTTCTTAGATAGTTTTTTTCTAAGAAAAGGGCTGTAGCTAGTAATAAAGGAGAACCAATGCTTTTATTTCAAGTCATCATAAATATTATTACACATATTTTGAAAATATATCTGTCCAATAACATCTGGGAACCCAAGGTCGGGAATTACAGATCTAGAATAAAATAAAATCTTCTGGGTATAAGGACTGAAGAGTTAAATAACTATAGTTCTACAAAGCATAAAACTAGGCCCAATTCAGTTTGAACATTGATAATATTCAGTCTACAATACTCTGACTTTCCAGAAGATTGAAGTTAATTCTCCACTTCATATTAAAGGTCGCCTGGCATAAAAACATGGGCGCAAATCCAGTTTTAAGTCCCAACTAAAGCAGACCCTGTAATCACTGGGAACTTGCTAAATAAAAAATTACCTTACATGCCATTAATTCAGTGCATCTACTCTAGGCAAGAATTACTTACCAAACAGAAAGTGCTTATGAAAATATCCTAAATCATGGGATATCAAATATGGAAAACAATATCTGAATCTGCACAACAAAATCTTAATTATACACTAACAGGATAATATGGCTTGACAACTTGAGAAGTCAACAGTAGCTTTTAGGAGGGGGAGCTTGGAATTTTGCCTTTTTGCAGGATAGCCATCTCAGCGAAGCATAGCATGAATTTCAAAAGCTGCAAGACCTGGAACCTTTTTTTAAAAAAATAGAGGGTGGATGGGAATCCACTTTATTGCCAGGTTTAGAAAGGCAACAATATTGTAGCTGGCAAGATTCTGGTTCTAAAACCACTCTGTGGATGGCAAGAGAACTAGAGAACAGAGAACAGCTTTCCTTTCTTTAAGCCTGCAAGTTTCTGTGCTTCATCTCTTGCATTTCTTTCACACACTGACTTAGAACAGCCAAGCTTTTCTGTAGCATCAGCAACCAGTAATTCATTAGAGAAGTTCAAGCTTAGCTAGACCAAGAGTACTTGCCAGAATTTCATGCGCTTTGAGGCCCAAATCATATGCTAAGCAAAATTCTGGGATTCTTTTTTCTGTATTTTTCCCCCCTAAATCATTTTTAAAGGAAGAACCATGTTTATATTCTGAAGATCAATCACACCATACTACCTATTTATAGAAAATGGTTATCACTCTAAATGTCATTACCATCTCAGGGAATCCTGGGATTTGTAGTTTGCTAAACTCTGTAGCTTACCAGCTGGATTACACCCCCAAGACTTTTGCAGCAACTTCCCCAGCCAGAATTCTGGTGGCTTTATTTAAAAAAAAAACACAACAGTCTCAGGTGTTTTGTAACCTTCACAGCTGAGGAATAAAGAATCCATCAAACAAAATTAATCTTCATGAAAGTGGGGGAAATGGCTGTGCGGGGCTAAACTCTATGGGATCTACATGGCATTTGGAGCCTCTCAGCATGCCCTTATTTTAATAACGCATGTGTATAACAGGATACACACATACAACAGAGAAAAGAATCACAGAATGCTTTGAATATCCAAGGCAGTCTTTCATTTTTCCATACAGTGCTCACATGAAAAGGATGATAGGGCTTCACAAGGTATCTGTGCTGAAATGTCCTCTTCCACACAACTACAGAAGATACGAGAGCCCTGTAGCCTTTTCACATGGACACCCTATTTTTCCAATCCTACTGAAATACCATTTCTCACAATAAGAACTGGGTGAGATTTTGCTTCATTATTCAGCCTTCAAGTACACAAGTTTCAGTGTTATTAAAATATTTCCATGAAGTTACAGGGTTTAGCTCTGCTTCTACGAAAGCCACTATACTTTTCTTTATTTTTCAAAACATTTTACCACACCTTTCAGCTAAAAAAGACAGAAGGAGACCAGCTGAAAAAAGATCAATAGTAAGTCAGCCTTTTCCATAAGCCGTGCAATCTTAATTTAGATTCCAGTTAAACCTTTGACTTAAACACTTGTTTTAATTTTGTATGAACCCCCATCTGCACAAAAGGAGCCTCAAGAAAGTACTGCAGTCTTGCTTGCAGCAATGGAAGAATTATTAAAGAGAGGAGCAATAATCTTCTCAAGTTTTAAAAATCCAATATGGATTGCTGGCTCAACAGAAACTAAAAAATACAGCTTGGACTGCTATGTGGAAATTTCCATTAAAAAGGTTGTAAACAAAGCAAAAAAATATGTGCTGCTTATCTACCACCTCATAGTGCTTAAAGCTCTGTCTGGTCAGTTTGCAATTCAATTACACAGGCTACACATTGCCGCCCACCACCACCACTATAGTGAGCTAGGTACTCAATTTACTAACCTTGGAAGGATGGAAGGCTGAGTCAAACCTGAGTCAGATGCCTGAGTACAGTGGGGTCTTGACTTGAGAACTTAATCTGTATTGGAAGGCGGTTCTCAAGTCAAAAAGTCTGTAAGTCAAATCTTACAGTGACCTACAGTGCATTGAAAACTGATTAATCCCGTAACAGGCCGTTTTTGTTCCATTTTGGTTTTTTTCTGGTCTGTAAGTCAAATCTCAGTCTGCAAGTTAAACTTAAATTTTGCGGCCAGAGAAGTCTGTAACTCAAAAAGTCTGTAAGTCAAGCCGTCTGTAAGTCAAGGGTCCACTGTACAGGACTGAACTCAGGTCATGAACAGAGTCTTGGCTACAGTATTGCAGTTTAACCACTCCACCACAAGACTCAACAGGGAAGGTGATCACTTCCCTCCAGAATTATTTTAATTATTTTATCCTGTAAAGTTGCTAAATATGGTTGCTTAGCTGTTAGATTGAGGGAAAAACTGATAAAGATTAATAGTAAATAAAACCAAAGGTTTATACAGGTTGGTAGTTCTATATATAAGAAGCCTAATTTTATTTAAATGTAAAATTTATTATATAAAATGCTACTGTAATGTATTATTTAAATAATTTTAAATACTTTAAATCTCAAATGTTGAAAGTTAGCATTCTGTAATCTAGTTGATTTGCCACAGCTGTTATGGAATATTTTGGCTAATAAACTTACTTATTTTAATAGCCATTTGGATTTTTTTTTGCTGACTTTGTGATTTAATGGACTTTAATTTGATTCAGTACAATTCTTATATTCCTGACCTCACATGCTGGACAGATTTTTTTAAAATCTGCACTGAAAAAAAAATTAGATAGCAGGTTTTCCCAGTGATGTGAAGTCTTTCCCAAGCATTGCTGTGAGTGATCTGGGTTACAATTCTGGGGTAGAAAGTCATTTTCAAATCTGCATTTCAATATGTTTTTAAACATCTTTAGACCTGAATGTCAATCACAAAAGATGATTTATTTTTCTGAGAGTCATATGCTTTCTTTTTCCAATATACTTAGAAGAATAAACAGCAAGATGCAAATCATCTTTTTAAGACTGATATTTAATTCTCAAAAGATTTGTTAATATGTTCAATCGCTAACTTGCTACATGCTGAGCTGGATCATCAACTTATTTTTTTAACTGACTGTATGAAGGTTTTTTCCTCCCTCTGCCCAGTAGGATCCTGATATGATTAATTTAAGGGAAGAAAAAAACAGCACAGCAAGATGTAAACAGCTGTGTGAAGATGCTTACTAAGTGTTTGTTGTGGCAAGTGTGCGCGCAGCGTGCGGCAATACTGCGTTAAACACTTAGGAGTAGCTTGATTTTGCTGCAGGAGGATCTGTTGCCAAATGAACAGCCCTAGGGCAACAGCTGGAACAAGTATAAGCACAAATTGCTTTTTTTTTTTTTTGCTTTGCCGCCTGTTGCAAGCTGCATGGACCCATGCAAAGCATAAAACATGCAAGTACTGATTTAAATTTGATGTCGTTTACCTTGATTTCATGCTAGGACCACACACACAAAATAGGTGTGGAGGGGAGAGAAAGGGAAAAAAAGAGAAAAAAACAACACACAATTTTATTTATAATTTTTTCCCCCAACAAACACAATTCCCCCAATAAAATCAATTTTTAAAACTTGTTCAAGTATGGACTACTTTAACGAACACATGTATTTTGAAATCAGCAACCTCCAACATTAGGAAGGCAGGCCTGATGGAAGGGATTCTTGAAACTTTCCATTCATGGCAGAATGGACTCAAGCAACCACTCTCTGATACAATGGTTACAAGTAGAAGAAACCTCCTATGGAGCAACCACAGGAAAAAGAGGACACAGTTCCTTAACCTTTAAGGGGAAATTTCAGCCGGTACCAATTTTAATGCAAGCTAGAGCTGTTGAAATTTCTTCCTCCACACAATTATTATAAATGCAGGGACTCTGTGGTCACTCTGTCTCTCTAAGAACCTGGAGCACTCCCAGGAAGAAAAGTTTGTTCATATCTGCAGTGCCCTTCCAGTTCAGCACACCAGTACCCCACATGCTAATAGACAGAAGGACTTGTTGACATCTGCTCTTCCTAAAGCATAGTTGAGGTTGCAGAGTTCTTCTGCTTCCCAGGTTCGAGATATCAAACAGCAATTTTGATTAAAGTTGGGCAAAGTTACACTTTTAAAATTACAGTTGTGCCATTTGCCCTGGAGTTGCAGTCCAAAAAGGTTACTTAATCACCACTGAGAGGGAGCACGGTCTTACGGGAGCAACCAATGTCCGAAACCACTGGGCCTTTCCCACACACTCTCCAGGAGAAGGTCTAATGTGGAACCCATGTTGGAAAACCATCTAACACATGTCTTGATTGATAGCTGACAGCAAAGAGGACTTCAGTACTGCATGACAGATTATTTTTTTAATGTGTGAAAATAGATGAACTGCTGGTAGATGTTTATTTATTGAAAAGATTTATATCTTACCTTACACCAAGTTCACAGCACAGCTTGCAAGAAATCAGAAATACAGCCAACAAGAATAAAATATAAATCTTTTAGTCATGTTGTTCTGTGCTCCAAATCCTATTAGCATGTAGGCTACATCCTCTTATTGGGCACATGGAGATTTATTTCCTTAAGGAAATACTTTTCTTATAAGGGAAAAGCTGAAAACTGGGTTAGAGCGTTCTGATTCAGACAGAAATATAACTAACAGTGGAATCCTAACTCAGTGGTATGGTGATGGTATAAAGTTAGGATCAGGCGTAAGCCTCTTCTGCTGCCCAGAATGGTCTTTTGCCAGCTGCCAATGCAGCAACACACCACTAGGGCTACTTTGCTGGTTCAAATCTGCCAACAAAGAGCCAAAAGTGGTTTAGGTCTAATCCCAAGGACACAGCAATTTTTGTTGGATATATTGCAATCTGCATATGGTGCCTTTTAAGAGGCTTTGACAGGGAGGGACTTTTCTAGTCTGGGGTGGATGTCAGTCAATCCAGCAGCCAATAGTTCTTTCTCTATTTCACATTCTTTTTTCCACCTTTTCTCCAGTCAAGGTTCTTATCAGGGTTAGCAATGGAGTCAGGAGTGGACAGTTAGAGTGATGTGTTCTGTCAGGTATGTAACAAGTCAGTAATGAAGCTAATGAATCAGTTAAGCACAGTGATATAACAAGTTAACATTTTTTACACACTTATGTCTGTAAATAGAAACATTTTATTCTTTCTCATTAGCAGAGTCTCTGAGTGAATGTATTGAGACAGTAAGTGCCAATTGATTTAAAATAACAAATAATGTCAGGCAAAACAAAACAAAGGCTAACATGGCTAGCTCTTCTAAAACTACAACAAATAATGGATCATCTACTGAGAAAGACTTGAAGCCCATCGGCTCTGTAGGTTCCTGACTGAATCATTTTATCTGCTGCATAATTAAAGGAAATTTATTTTATTATTATTTTGTCACATTCAAATTTCCTCACACACACTGTGCCCCCAAGAGTACTGATTAATTTCCAACATCCCTAGCTAGGAGGTCGTTTATACAGTTAAGGCTAGTCTGAATGTTGACAATGCCATCAGTGTCAAGATGGTCTACAGGAACCCCTTTTATGCTCACTAGTCTTCAGAAAATGATACACCAAGCAAAGGAAAATCTCAGAACCTAATTCCTTTTCTCATAAGTTAACAACTTCTTATCCAAACACAAAGCAATTGGCATGGCTGTTTTTTGTCTGCCAATTATAAGACCCCTGTGCCGCAACTGTCAAACTGGGGGATGTATTTATACCTTGCTTTCCCCCAGAGAGATCAAAATAGCTTGTATAACCCAACCCTCCTCTCTTCATTTCTTCTTTACAATAATACTATTGGACAGGTCAAGCTGAGGGAGGATGACTGGAAGGATGACTGTGCTTCTCCCCCTCTTCTTATCATATTTCAGAAGGGTAACTGGGTGTCAATGCTGGCCTCACTGGCATTGTCAAGCATGTTCTCTGCCACAATGGTCACACTAGGTGTCCAGCTTGCCTTTCAGAAGACTTCTTAAGTTCTTTTTCAAAATGTGCCTGGCTCAAAAATTGCTAAAGGCTGGTCTCCTTCACTGTCCTCAATCAGTTAGTGATGCGCTAGCAGAGGTAAGGGCCAAGCAGCACTTGATACTCATTCTCTCCATGGTTCATCATTCTCTTTCCATTTTTCTCTCTGGCGCACACACCCACACACACACACTCTTTTTCTCTCTCTCTGGCTTCTCTCTTTCTCCCTCTTCTCTTTCTACCCTCTCTCCTTGGTACCTCTCTGTCTTTCTGTTGTTTCTCTTTCTTTGCCCTCTTCTCTCTCTCTTTCCATCATTCCTTCCTCACTCTTGCCCTCCCCAAATATGTTCCTGATTAAAAAGCCCATTAAAAAGTCATGATGTTTTATTTGGACTGCCCCCTCCAATCAGAAATGGCTTACATAACATTTATTTGAACAGCCATGCAATATCAGAGGTCGCCTTTTGTGCACTTCTAATGTAGAAGGATATCCAGGACTGGTTGGACCATTTAATAGAGTGAGACCCTTCTTAAGCCACAAATGCAAACGAGGGAGGTGGGATGGCAGCTGTTACAACTATTCTTCTTAAACTCTCTAGACATTTCCTTCTCATGGAGGATAGAACAGTGTCTTCCATGCTGTGATCTATACGTTCCATATCCTGTGCCTCTTCATTTGTCACCCTCAAGTGCAACAGAAGATGCTTGCCCTATCATGTGTGCCATTTTTTAATTTTTGGTCCTTCATGTCATGATCACCATTGTAGCTCAGGCAGGAGAACGCCTTGGGGCCCACCTTGCAGATCCCCATGCTCTTAGCAGACATAAATAGAGCAAAGTACAAGATTATTTCTGTATGAGCTATATTGCTTCTCTGTATTAATGTGAAAACCAAATAATAACAACATTTTTTGTTACTGAAGCCGTACTGCTCTCTATGTGTTAAATACTATTGCCTTAGATTTCCTTAGATATGCAATATAGAAAAGCATACACACATTTAAGATTTGAACAAATGAACTCTATGATAAAACGGGGCAGGTTTCAGAGCATCCCAATACAAGACAGATTGTGTATATGGGAAACCCAGGTCTTGAGGACCTGGCTCATTATGTCTTTGAATGCCCTTTATACATGGATATAAGAGAAAAATGTTTAGTCTTTTTTTTTTTTAAAAAAAGGAAAAAATAGGAGCAACTCAAAAGAATTAAGCTATTTATTACAAACAACTAAATTGCACATAATAAATAGAGTTCAAACATTTGCTGTCGAAGTCACTATATATAGAGCTAAGTATCTGGATAATATTGGTGTAAGTTGTCATAAAGATTCAGAGTATAAATTCCCAGAGATCAAAAGTCCAATGTTATATATATTTAAAAAATTTAAAGTTTCATTATTCTACTTATGTGAGGTACCCAGTTAAGCTGGTTTAAATAATCAGAAAATTACCTTTTTCTTACAGTTTAATTTTATCAATAAATATCAGTATTATACAACTTTATATTGTATTTTTTGATAAATAAATACCTATGGTATGACAGATTGCTATATTAAGTTAATTTTATTTTAATATTGCAACGATCTGTTGATTGCAAAATAAAGAGTCTGTCTATTCTGCATGGAACTATATTGCTTCTCTGCAGTAATATGAAAACCAAATAATAGCAACGCTTTTGTTACTGAAGCCCTGCTGTTGTCTATTTGTTAAATACTTTTACCTTAGATTTCCTCTCAGTGTGGGCAATCCACCAAAATAGATAGGCTCATCAGCTTTCAAGTTGAGGCCGAAGTGCTTCCCTGCAGAAGTTGTTGATATGCTCTCCTCCTGATTGGAGTCTATGTCTACAATTGATATATTAGCTGAGGAAGTATAAAGAAAATGTTTAATGTAGATTTAATCTGAGCAAGGTTTCAAATGTTTATAGTTATTTCTTCCACTTCTGAGCAAACATTCATGGTTCATATGCCTTAAGAAAATTTGAAAAGTTATTTTCAATACAATAAAGAAAAACAGCCCAAAGTATGTTCTATCTGATGACATCTTTTACTCATATAATGTCTCTCCGATTTAATACAAGCACATTGGTATTAATGCTTGCTGAGAGAAGTGCTGTTATTCAAACAGTGCAGTACATATTGCAGAACATATTGGAAAGTAATAAAGAACACACAGAAGAGGTGAAACCATAAGCACAAGAAGATACACCACAGCAAAAAAGTTTACACTTAGAGTAGCACAGACTGCTCACTGAAGATATTTTTTTCCTCAAATAATGTTTGTTTGCTTGATCATAAGGAATGATTCAGGTAGTATTTTCAGAATGGTTTAAGTGGAATGTCCCATACAAACTAACTACAATAGAAACATCTAAGGTCTATCAGATTCAGTTCCAATGGCTTTGTGTACACAGGCTGCAGTCCTATTCTGGCATGCCTCCAAGTGTCAGTTCTAGCCTGAATAGAGCAATGAAGTAAATTGTGAAGGATGAGTCAAGAAGACTCACATAAATCTTAGGTATTCAGTGAGTCTGCTTTGTTGACTCGCAAATCCAATAGTCATTCACAACTAGATTAGGCTTGTTGAGTCAATGGAACTTATAGACGAGTTGATTCATCAAAGTCCCAATGGGGCTACTCTAGTTTTGACTTACCACTGGATTTCAGCATTTGTAAGGAGGGAAAGCTTGAACCTGATAGCTATGGATATTAGCTATCTTACTTTACACTCTCTGTAGCATGTAAGGTTCCTTCTCACACCTCTGTCACCTCCTTTGGTCTCCCTCTTTATCTTTGTGTGTTTTGAATTTGGCAAGGAGTTTCACATGTGAACTCCTGGAGCTTTCACTAATTGTATTGACATTAAACATGGGCCCAAATCAGAAAAAAGGTGATTTGTTTTGATTCATCAAGGTTAATGAAACACAAATTTACAATTTTTTTCTGATGTATCAACAAATCATTTCTCAATTTATTTTTTACTTTAAAACTCTATAAAATGTCCCCCCAAGCACCTAGAGTCACCAAATTTGCAGGAAAGCTTTCACTGACTCTCCTCTACAAGCCCTACAAGGTTGGTGAAGTTTGGGTTTTGAACGTCCAACTTTACACCCACAAGGAGGGCCCCCCAAGGTACATTCATCCCAGGCATCTAGAAACACCAAAATCACAGATCCTTCTACCTTCTCTCCTCTACAATCTCTCCAGGATTGGTGAAGATGAGGTTTCAGACTTCCATGTTATACACTCACAAAGTGCCCCCCCCGAAAGTGCCTTTAGCAGCTGGCTTGGGGAAACTCAATCTTCACCAAACTTGGACGGATTGTTTAGGAGAGTCATGGGATGCTTCTCTACGGTCTTGGTATCTCTAGGCACCTGGGTGGGAGTTTCCTGGAGGGCCTCTTTGTGGGTGTATAACTTGGGCATCTGAAACCCAATTTGCACCAAACCTCAAGAGATTGTAGGGGAGCATCAGAGGACACTTTTCTGAAACCTTGGTGTCTCTAGGTGCCTAGAGGGGCATTCTATAGCCAAACAAATCTACGAAAAAAATCACTAAAAATTCATTGATACGTGATTAGAGATGGGGGTATTTGTATACAAATATGAATGCCCCCGCACAGGTGGATATAACAAGGACCGTCCACTCATGTGTCCATTGCTGGTGGCAGCTCTACTCCCCCTTCCAATTGCTCCAGAGTTCGTGGTTGGCTATCCACTCATCAGTCTTGCAGGGAGACTTGTCTTCTCTCCTTCTGCCAGGAGTGGATACTGAACTGTGAGTTCCAGAGCGATTAGGAGAGCAGACCTGGTGGCAGCAGTGGACACATGAGTGGACGATCTGGCCCCAGGGGGCTGGACCCTCATTACGTCCAGCTGTGTGGAGTTATTCATATACGAATACCCCCATCTCTATTTGTGATTCATCAGGGGCATTGATTCATACAAATCAATGAATTAGTGATTTTTGAATGAATTTTGTGATTTATGTTTTAATTTGTGCTAATCTTTAATTGACATTCTTGTAGGTTTGCTTCAATGTCCTGTAGATCAGAATGAGCAAACTTCAGTCCTCCAAATGTTGCTGGGTTGCACTTCCCACCATTCCTGTTCTTCGGCTATGCTACCCACCAATGGCTTATGGGAGATGAAGTCCAACAACAGCTTTGCTACTGCAGATAGTATATGTTTCACCTGAGCAAGTCCCTCCACTAGATTTTATTTTAGTTAAAAAGAAACAGCAACTGTGTTAATCATACAGGGTTAAAATGCCTGATCTGCAGGAAGTCTTTTCTCCTTGCTGCACAAAGGTTGTGGCAGTTGGCAAAAGAAAACCCATTGTGTATTGTAGATAGATGATTGCACCACCAGCATTTAACTCACTACATTTTCAAAAGAGGTTTGAGAGATCCAAGTTATGAAAGGCACCATAAAGTATAAAACCTATTTACATTCCAAGAGAAACAGTTCAGGTTTGTTTATGAACAACATCAGGGGACTGTATGAAAGAAAACACCCCCACATTTTTCCCATTCAGATGCATTTCAGAATGTAATGGAAGTAGCTGTAAGGCAGAATTATGCCTGAAAAATTAAGCTACAGTTTTCAAAAGAAAATAATAAGAGACCTGTTTGACACCGCAATCAGTCATAGCTAACCTGAGCTACCTGTAATTGAAAGCAAAAGAAGTTGCTAAATCACTTTCTTTTACAACTTTCTAAACCCAGCAATTTTGTACATCATATTCTCCATGATTAGGCAGTTAGCTGTGCTGGATAAGATAATTAGGACATTTATGATGTTATCACTGCAGGAACTCACCTTGTTTTAGAATTCTTGACAAGGTGAATGATTTCCATTTCCCATCATTATGGTTCTGGCTGCCGACAACAGTAGCTGTTCCAGAACCTAGATCATAACTGACTTTAATATGCCCGTCATTGAGTTCGATGCTCATGAAATCTTTCTGTAATGAGAAGCATCAGCAAATGTATTTAGCTTCTGAAAGGCAGGTAACCTGCCATTTCCACTCCCACCATAGGTAATATGCAAGGTTTTCTTTCTTTCTTTCTTTCTTTCTAAGTTCATAGAAGGCATCATAATTGATGGCATTCAGTTTGAGAAACCCATTGCAAATGACAAGGTAGAGTGTAACAAAAACAACTTTTATTAATGACTAGTTAACAAAAAAAGAGGTTACTCTCTGAGTGGTCCTCTGTGAATTCACACATATGGCTATTGTCTGCGCCTCTCTCGGAAGATTCTAGAGCTAAAAGTAACAATTTTATGGTGTGATCCTCCACAAGGTATATGCTCCTCCCACCCACCATCTTCCCCAGTTCCTGAATTTTATCCGCCGGGTATGAAGGAAAGAATTAATTAAATAATTCCATAGTTAACCCGTGACGGATAGAGGGGAAGGATGGGCGGGTTGTGTGAATTCACAGAGGACCACTCAAAGAACTATGGTTACAGGTAAGTAACCTCTTTTTCTTTTTTATGGCCTCTGTGAATGCACACATATGCGTGATTAGCAAGCTGCACTTACTGGTTGGTGGGTCGTCATGGTAAGAAGGATGACAGGACAGCTCTGCCAAACGCAACATCTTGGCGTGCTCTGATGTCCAGCTGGTAGTGCTTGACAAACGTGGACAGTGTGGACCATGTAGCAGCACGACAAATGTCAGGAACCTCAGTGCCGCGCTGAAAGGCAGTAGAGGTGGAGAGTGCCCTGGTTGAATGAGCTGTCAAATGTTCTGGAGGGGATTTCCCCAACAAGTTGTAAGCAAGGGAGATAGTCTGTACAATCCAGCGTGCTATGGATTGAGAGGAGGCTGGGGCCCCTCTGTTTGGGCCGTGAAAGCAAAGAATAAGTTTATTGGACTTTCTGAAAGTTTTTGTCCTTTCGACATAGAAGGCCAGGGCACGTCTGACATTGAGGTTATGGAGCATATGTTCCAGGGACGAGGAAGGAGATTTGAAGAAGCACGGTAGTATGATGGGTTGGTTGAGGTGGAAGTCGAAGACCACCTTTGGGAGAAAGGAAACATCAAAATAGTCACTTTATCGTGGTGAAATTGGATAAAGGGAGGATCGGCTTGGAGAGCTGCAAGCTTGCTAGCTCGTTTGGCTGACGGGATTACAATTAGGAAGGCCGATTTAAGGGTCAGGAATTTGAAGTCGATGGACGCCATGGGCTCGAATTGAGGCCACATCAAGGCATTAAGAACCAGCTGCAGTGACCACTGGAGGGTGATACGTTGTTGAGGGGGGCAAATGTTGTTGAGCCTCTTGAGGAATTTCTTGACAGTTGGGTGAGAAAACAAGTGTCACATACAGCACTGATGGTACCTGTCTGTCATGGGTTTGGAGGGAAAGTTCCATCCTATGGGGAGTGGAAGGCAGGACATCAGGGGGGAGGAGCTGTACTGTATATATATTTGGAGCTGATGTGGAGAAGAGGAGTTGGAGTCTGTGTGTCAGACTGTGTACAACTGTTAGTCAGTTAGTACATACCTGATAGGTTCAGGTTTCTATATAGGTAGCCAGAACTGATAGGTTCAGGGTCTGTGCGTTACCTTAAAGTGTTCTGTGGGAACCAATCTGTTATATGTGTATGTTTGGGGCTATGCCACGTTACATTATCCTATCTACCTGATTCTTTTATGTACCCTGTTTGTTATTTCAATAAACCTTGTTCTTTTATTTAGTAAAATCCATTCCTGGTCTGTGTGACTCCTTACTGGGGTGAAAGACGAGACTATGGTTGAGTGAGAGGAGATCTGGGCGGAGAGAAAGACAGAGCATGTCAGACGATATCGATACCAGGAGAGTGAACCATGGCTGGCGAGGCCAATACGAGGCTATGAGGGTCGCGTTGGCCCCGTCTTGCCGGGGACGGACGATTACCCTCTGGATGAGGGGTGAAGAGGGAAATATGTAGAGGAGATCGTGAGACCAGTCCATCAGGAATGCGTCTCCCAGAAAGGTGCTGTCCCTTCCTGCTCTGGAGCAGAATTGGGCACACTTCTTGATGGCATTGGATGCAAAGAGGTCTATTGAAGGTGTGCCACATCGCTGGCTCAGCCGCCGAAATATGACATCGTTCAGAGTCCATTCGTGAGTTCTTGTTGGAAGCCGACTGAGCTGATTGGCCAAGGTGTTGTCAGTGGAAATGTGGATGGCAATAGGGAAAACATGGTTGGAATAGCACCACTCCCAGAGGTCGACAGCTAGGTAGAGCACAGAAGGGGAGTGGGTGCCTCCTTGCTTGTTGACATAGAAGAGTGCAGTGGTGTTGTCTGTTCCCAACTGCACTACTTGTCCTTGGATCAGGGGAAGAAAGGCATGGAACGCTTTGATGATTGCCAACAGTTCCAGATGGTTTCTGTGAAGTGGCAGCTCTTGTGTTGACCAGAGCCCGTGGACTGTGTGCTGAAGGCAGTGGGCATCCCATCCCATGGGGCTGGTGTCAGTTGTGACCTGTATGGAAGGTTGCAGGGGGGAGAAAGGTCTGCCAGTGAGAAGGTTGTCTGGGCAAGTCCACCAGTTGAGCTGGGAGGCTAGTTCTGGTGTTAGCGGCAGTAGAGAAGATGGAGGATCTGTGA